GCCCATGCCCCTGCCGAGAGGCACTGGAAGGCGATCGTGAAGATCCTCGCCTACCTCAAAGAGACGAGGGACCTCGGGATCACCTACAAACGGGGATCGGGGTTGGGGCTAGAGGTGTACGTGGACGCTAGCTACCCCGACGCTAAGGATAGGCGTTCGGTGTCAGGGCTGGCAACAACGGTTGGAGGGACCGTCATCAGCCACGGTAGCAAGACGCAAGCTATCGTATCTTTGTCGTCTACGGAGGCAGAGTACATTGCTGCCGGGGAGGGTGTGAAGGAAGCTTTGTTTGTGCGTGCAGTGCTTTCGTTTATTGCCCCAGAGACCAGTGGCAGCAGCATTCAGGTCCTTGAGGACAATCAGGGGGCTATGGCTTTGGTGCAGAACCCCCTCAGCTCAGCGCGTAGCAAGCACATCGACGTGNTATGGCTTTGGTGCAGAACCCCCTTAGCTCAGCGCGTAGCTGGCACATCGACGTGCGGTACCACTTCATTCGTGGATTGTTTAGGTCGGGGGAAATCTCGATCAAGTTTGTGTCGACGTCGGAGCAGCATGCCGATATGCTTACCAAGGCTCTTAGCAAGAGCAGTCTGCAGTACCACCGGCTCAAGTTGATGAATTTACCGGAGTAGCTAGCAGTTTTCAGCACTTGGGAGCGGCCATGTTTACCATGCGGGAAAAGTCGCATTACTGTCGCGGTCTGTCTACCCATGGCAGCAGTAGGGGGGGTTGGGAGACCATCGTCCGGGGGAACGTAGTTCCTTGAGATCTTTTCTTCGCCTTGGCCTTTCTGACAAGTGCGGCCGTTGTGCATCCGCCGTGATAGCAATGGTTTTTGTGTTGGANTCAAGTTGATGAATTTACCGGAGTAGCTAGCAGTTTTCAGCACTTGGGAGCGGCCATGTTTACCATGCGGGAAAAGTCGCATTACTGTCGCGGTCTGTCTACCCATGGCAGCAGTAGGGGGNGCGGTCTGTGTACCCATGGCAGGAGTAGGGGGCGTTGGGAGGCCATCGTCCGGGGGAACGTAGTTCCTTGCGATCTTGTCTTCGCCTTGGTCTTTCTGATAAGTGCGGCCGTTGTACATCCGCCGTGATAGCAATGGTTTTTGTGTTGGATGGGGTTTTCTTTGGAGGGGTTTTGCCCGGGGGCCGGGTTTCCCCTCCTCCACCGTATGTTTTTTTATTGATGTGTCCGGGGTGTTGTTGCCCCACTGATGCTTAGTCACTCGCGTGAAGAATCAGGGAGGGTGTTCGTGGGTCTACGGACATGGTGGATACATTACCCGTACGTACAAGTGTGACGCAGATGGTGTAGAACCTTTAAGGTAGGGGTACGGTGATGAAGCACCGGGACCCCCTTTGTTGATAGCAGCAGCCGTGCTGCTACTCTGTCTCTCTCTCTCTCTCTCCTCCTCCTTTCCGAGCACTACAGCGTCCTGGGTACGGGCGTTGTCTCACCGTCTGAAGGTAATACACTACACAAACAAGTCCCGATAAGTACGCGGAGTACGGCCGACAAACATGATTGAGGTCTTGTATTATATGCAAAGCTTGTAGCAGAAGGGCTGACAGGTCACAATCGATGACTCCCGCTCATAAACTCCGATGATGGGCCTGTTACCCAACGAATGGTGACGGCAGAGCGTGCAGACAGAGGCGCGGGTTCGCCGAAACGCCTTTGATTGTGATTGCTGCGGGGTGGAGCAACAGGCCATTTTTCATGCGAAGGGACCCTCCTGAAAGTTTCTTCGCGACGATCATGTGACTGTCAGGTGACCAAGTGGCAAAAGACAAGGGGAAAACGGTTGTGGTTGGTCTGGAGGTGAGCCCAGAAGAAGGAAGGCGTGCATGAAGATCGGGCGTCTCCGAGTTTTTTCGGTCCATCCAATACAAGCAAGATCATCTTGGATGCAGGTCATTTGTCTCCCTACTTCGTTTATACCGTCCTATGGTGTGGCCGGGCGAGTACTCCACAGGTTCTATTTGGATACTACGGGGTTCAATACACTTGTACGGAGCAATACACGACGGCGGGAGAGGGGGGGGGGTTAGGCACGGCCGGCGGTGGGGAGAAGGTATCGACAACGATAGGATGGCACCGTTGTTTTCTGTTGGAACGCCACGGCCCTCTTAGACTAATACATCGACATCCACATCGACATTAACGGTCAGGCTGCAAGCATGGGTACCCAGCAACGTACCAAACCCGAAAGAGCAGCAACACCGAGGTCCTTGATTGTCCTGTACACTATAAACAATTATTTTGTAGCCGTGCCAAATCTACGTTGGACGGATCCGTCGGGGAAAACTGTTCTTCCGCAACATGTATCCAACCCGCTCTTTCACTTAGCAGGCAACCATGGCACAGGCGGAGATGCCGTCCCAACTGGACGTTTTCCATAGCCATTCTCGGGCACACCGCAGGTTGCGTGTATCCTACACGCTACTTTAGGTCAAACATTGGCATACGCGTGGACCTGGTGTTGGCACGGCCATCTCGGTCGGCTGTTCCAGACAGGACGCTGGCCGGATTCGGCGATCTCCCACACTATTTGACAAATAATGTGTTTCGCTTCCATAGAAGAATAAATCAGCTTCCATGGAAGTTGGATCTACTTCCATGGAAGCTGATACCAATTCCATGGAAGCTGCACGTCCATGGAAGCGCAAAACGACACTTCCAAGGAAGCGATATTCACTTCATTGGCGCTAAAGATGTGAAATGTGGATGTGCCACTTCCATTGAAGCTAGCTTCCACGGAAGCCCAATAGAAATGCCATGGAAGTGGAACAGCTTCCATGGAAGTCGAACCATAGGCTCCCATGGAAGCTATTCGAGACAGTTTTAAGGCAGTTTCCATGGAAGTTTACCGCCTCGGGGTAGCTTCCATGGTATTTACGGGTTAGAGTCAGGGTGGGGAAGCTGGTATGATCACTGTCCAGACGCTTCCATGGAAATGATTTGTTGGGTTCCCGCATTGGATTAGGGTTAGGGTGGGGAAGCTGAAATGACAACGTTTTCAGACGCTCTTTCGGTGGAAGTTGCTTTGGGCTAGGGATAGGGTTAGGGTTAGGGTAGGGAAGCTGGAATGACCACACGTCCAGACGCTTCTTGCGTGGAAGTTGCTTTAACGGAAGCTTCGTTGGTTCCACGGGAGTCGGTTTCGACCTCTGGCACTCACTTTCATGGAAGTTGCTTGCAGCATGGATGTAGTAGAGACTCTCTCAAGCGACGAAAGGCTTCCTTGGAAGTACATACATCCATTGAAGTACTGCCATGGACGCTCGTCGCGCGTCCGTGGAAGTCCGAAATCCGACTTGCATGGAAGCAACGAGCGGTGGACATCTGGTGCTTCCATGGAAGCGGACCAACTTCAATGGAAGCGGATTAACTTCCATGGACGTTTCGTACGGCTTCCATAGAAGGATCATTAGACTATATCTGAAACCCGAAACAGACGAACAGATTCCATGGAAGTCAAGAATACTTCCATTGAATCCATTATACTTTCATGGACGTCGATATCGACTTCCGTCGAACGAAGTGACAGTGACTTCCATGGAAGGGGTAACCACTTCCATGGAAGCAGTGACCACTATCATGGAAGTCAATTTCGACTTCCATGGAACGGTACTCCATTGTCAAATAGTGTAGGTTACCCGGAGTCGGCCAGTTTGCGCACACCAAAATTGGTGAGTTTTTGGCAAAGGACTACAGAGACGAACGTGAGCGAGGTGGATGATCACAGACCCTGGCATTCTCTGGCTGGTACAGTGTGTTTCAGTCTCCCAGATTTGTATGCATGGTCTTGAATGAACAGGGTGTGGACGGCACAACGTGTTTTAGTCTCAGATTTGCACGTTCTCGTTCTTTCCCCAAATTCAGGGAGAGGTTTAACCCCCCAAGTCCCTAACGACACCACCACATAACCACTAGACGACAAGCACATAGTGAGTCATTTGGCCAGCGGGTGCGCGTTGCAGACATGGTTGTGCCGTAGTGGCCTCAGACTCTTTGTCGATAGTGCGATGAAGGTGGGCACACCACAGTTTGCGTGTTGCTGCACGCCACAGTAGGTAAAACGTCGGAATCGATGACGACCTTGTGGGGTACTGTTGGCTGCTCGCCACGGTAGTAAATTGACGAGAGTATGGAGTGTCGAGTAAGATCACGGAGGTAGGCCTAGATGAACATGTCGTGGGGTGGGGTGGAAGGGGTCGGTACAACCACGAGCTCGGACGGAGGAGCAAAAGAATGGTTGGTGCAAGGCTAGGTAGGGTGCTGGGACTAGAGAGTAGCGGTGTTGGTGCAGAATCTCAGGTGCAGCGGAACGAATCTGGTTTGGGGCAGAAATAAATGGATGCACTAAAGGAGCTCGCTGAGGTATGGCGTGATGGGAGAAAGGGGCAAGGACCGGGGAACAAAGGGCGATGATGGACGCAGAGACGGAGGAGGTGGATGGAATGGATTTGGCCTCTGGAGAGGTTTGGATATTCATACGTTAGAGGATCTTATATGAACCAGGCGCATCGACTAGACTATTGTGTGGCAGAACTCTTTCTCGTCGTCGCCTTTAGAATCCTTATTCTCGTTGTACTGGTGACGACAACCAACTTCCTGTACAGGCGTAACTTTCTAACTTTCGCAATGGTGCAATGCCAGAACTCCAGCATCGGAGCTTCGAGACGACTAAGCACTCAGCGAACCTTTGTTCAACGGGGGACTCGAAAAGAGTCAAAAAGACGGCAAGCAAGAAACGATCAAGACCCTGAAGGACAACCTACAGAAGAGGCAGTTCGACGCCGTATTCACTCTGCCGAACGACAAGAAATGACTGGAGAATACGAAAGTTGTTGCATGTCGAATGCTGGTGCTGCCAGTGCTATCTTCACACACCTGCAGTAGAACTGATTTTACTTTTCCGGGCATTACATTACATTAATCGAAGCTACAACAGAGGAACAGGTCAATGCAAATATACAAAGCAAGATAGATGCAGATATTCATTACGCACCACACCAATCTCGTGTAGTATTGCGGCTCACACTTGGCAATGAACGCCTCACCAACTTTAGCTAGGTGTTTGTACCAACATCCCTCGTAGTCGTACATGCTCCAACCCTCGCTTGCACCGAAAGTCCGAACTCCTTCATCAACCGCTGATGCAGTGCTTCTTCCAGCCCCTTTAGCTGCTCTTTGGAGGTATTCTCCAGGCGATTCCGAAGAAGTTTGATGTGCTCCACCGTGGTGCGTCTGTCCTTCTCATCCTGACGCACGTCCTTGTCATCCATGGGGTCGTCAAGGAATTCGCGCAACTTTTGCGCTCCTACTCCTCCAGGGCTTTTCAACAGCATGCTCTCTATTGTGGATTTACTAGCACCGTGTCGGGATTTTGCTGTACTCCTGGTATCGTCATTGCAAGGGCAGCGAGATAACACCCGTCTAGATGCGTTCAGCCACAACAAGAGGAGATAAACCGGAGCGCCAAAAACACACCAGCACGGGATGATCACAACATACCGAAGAAACAGCGACCAAAGGTGCATGCTCCTCTTGCTGTCACCTCCACCATTGTCCCTCTTGTTCTGGAGTCGGTGGTGCTTGCGCCAAAAATACATCGCAGGCAACACAGATCCCATCCAGAGGAGACTTCCTCCAATGACAGCTACGGGACCCAGCACGACCCAGAACACCACGGGTCCAATGGCTTTGCTCCCGCATGCGTATGCTTCCTTTGAACGGTTGCGGGTTTGTTGTGTGTTTCCAGACACGCCGCTATTGCGTCCACAACACCCGTGCAGGCACCAAGCAATCGGCCATACGATCAGCTGCAGCAAGTTGAACGGGGTCGGCAGCATGTCGTTCGTCACGACCAACTGGTAGTGATCCATCATCCGCGCGATCGATACCTTGAACTCGCGTTCGATATTTTCCGCTACCTGAGCGTGCGAGGTGCTCAGAATAGCAACGAGGAGGTTTAGGAGCATAACCGTCACGATGAAGAGATACACCACAAGCAAGAACGTCGCCACAACGTCGTACGTGTCTCCCGAGAACACCTTGAAAAAGTCAGTGTCACCTAGCATGGCTTTGAACAAGTCCAGAAACGACTCGCCGAAGCTGTCGAAGTCGCGGAACAGGACATGGAAAGCCATGGTGAACCCCAGCACTATGACCGCCATGACAAACCCGAACTTGAGCAGGATCCTCGTCATGCGAAACACTACCTGCGCAATGCAATGCACACAAATCACCACGTTCCACAGTCAGTCAAGCTCGAGTGTTCGCAGGAGGAAGTAGAGACAACCCGCAATTGTCGCTTTCGAGCGCTCAACATGCGAGGTTGCTCTTGCGAGCCATTCCATAAAATTTCTGAACGCCGCCAAAACGGCGGGCTCGTTCTGCTTCACGCTCCGCGCAGACTGCCGTGGGCCGATCCAAGCTCCAATGACATACTGTGGCATACGTCTGTAACATAACTTAACACTCCCGGAAAACTAGCCGTCAACGTTGGGGAAATGGATTTCGCCGTAGGATTCTGTCGAACCATTCCCCTTAACCCTCCATTTGAAGTCTAAGTCGTGTACACGCTGTGGGAAACGTTTCGTTTCGCCACTTGCCTGAATCATCGGGCCTTGGAGAGGATGGATCTGGACGAAGAACAGGGCGCGGGATACCAACAGTGGGGCGGCAAGCGCATAAAACGCGGGCCCCAATTGGCTTTTCCAGTCTACAACTCTTCCGACCAAACCGATGGTCAAGAACAGAAGGCTCAGCAAGTCCAGAGCATTCCACTGGTCTTCACAATATCGGCCGAAGTTTCTTGCCATCTCGCGTCCCTCCTGGAACACTCCACCCTGAGGCAACATCGGGTTCAGCGAAGAAGAGTGTTGCAGTGAAAAACGCTTCAAATTGGTCCCCGACGGCATATCGCTTTCAACTGTAGCATGGAGTTGGTTGACGCCCCACCGTGCATGCGACCAGACTATCCGAGAAGAAATACTCTTGTGTTGGGGCGTGTGCAATTGGGCCTCGGTGCAATTGGGCCTCGGTGACATACAAACCAGTATTGGAGGATCGCTCACATCCAAGTAAAAGCTGTTTTCAGCTCGAATTCTTGCAGGAACTTACCACGATGAAGATCTTCGCGCAAGTGGCCTCAGGCCAGTCGAGCGTCCTGAACACGACTTGTTCATCGGTGGAACCCTCGACATAAGATTTCTCGGCCTGTGAGTGGAAGAGCACAAATGTACTCAGCGCCACGATCATCCCAATGTAGACGACGAGGTCGAGCACCATCCTCATGGCCGGCACCCTGAAGTAGTCGTTAGGCCTTGCAGCCAAGCCTGCGACTATAACCTGTGCTCCAGGGAAAGGAGTAAGACTGGGGAAACGATCGTTGGCTCCTTGTAGCAATGCCCGAGGCGATCTGAAGCTGGCAAGAAGGCTTTTGCTACCGAAAAGAGTGGGATGCTTCCATGGTGGTCTTAATGAAGCGTGGTCGTCCGCCTGTCCAATCGTTTCTCCAATCGTTTCGTCGATTTGTTCGTCGTTCAAATGGCCATCTTCTTTCTGAACATCGACGTCCACACCCCAATCAAGCACAAGGCAGACATCTCCTTTCACTCCCCCACGACTCAGATGTAAGATCTCGTTGGAATCCGCAAGAACCTCCTTCGGGTCGCGCAGGCGAGGCAGGCTGAGAGTGAATTTCCGTTTCAGGAAGTCCATGACGAGAGGAACGTTGCAGAAAAGCTCCCTCTGCTGCTGTCTCGAGAGCATCATCTCCAGAGGCTTTTCGAAGTCCTCGAAAACGTCCAAGAACTTCGGCTCAAACATGTCACGGCAGTCGTCCATGTCCCTCTCGAAGGATCTGACCGATCGAGGAAGCCGCTCAAGTACTTCGAGCAACAGAGCGTTCACGCTCTCCTGAATGTCTGTGATGGCTCTTCGTTCCCCCTCGTTAGCCTTTTCGGCAGCCTCTGCGAGGCGTATCGACAGCACCAAGCCTGGGATGAACGGGTTCGCAGCAGAGGTCACGGCATCCAAGCAGCAGTCCTTGAAGGCCTCTCCTCGGGCGTGCGCAATTGCGAGCTTCTTGAGATGGCTCGGCGAAGGACGGGCGGAGCAGGCCATGAGGGAAGAAAGGAGCTTCAGGCCGAAAGGTCTTCCAGGATGGCGGTCCAGTTGTCGTTCCGCGCACTTCGAGAAAACCTCATCAAGTGGAACCGTCTCAGCCACCTGACACCATGCACGGCGACGGAAAAAAACGTTTCCGAGACACTTGTGTCAACACCACATAGACCACGAGCAAGCGCGTGCAATTTCGGGGGCATTTTGGACTTCAACCTCGCCACGACCTTTCCCGCACCGGGCTCTGTCGAGGGTGGCCGACCTATGATGAAATGCTGGCGAAACCGGTATTCATGGCGGCGGCCAGCGATGGAATAATACGGAAACGGCATCAATAGAAATACGTAGATATTTGACTGCTGCGCACGAACGGAATTTATCGTGCAGAAAGAAAAACAATTCCGAACGATTTCTTCATCATTTGGGCGTCTTGCCAAATCTAGGCGGGCCACTCCCGGACACCGTTGAACACATGGATTTAGGCATTCTGGGCACTCATTGTGCCTTGAGCCTCATTTGCCATCAACATTACACAATCGAAGACACCAGTATCTCGAAAGAACGCCAAGTGCGATGGCAACGAAGGCGAACTTGGCCCAGTGGGAGTGGTACCCACCGATCACAAAGCACACGCATGACATGCTTTATTGGTCTCTTAGAATTGCACGATGTTCGGTGGGTTACCTTTTGGTTGCTGTTTACGCATGTCGTAACCTGTTTCAAAAGCCAGAAATCGTTTTGTTGCAGAGCCCACCGCAGGTAGGACCCGGTGTGCCTCCATGCCACAGATTTCAGGGAGTCGACAAGTTCCGTCACCTGGACAAAAGTAAAGATGGCATCGACGCAATTTTTAGCACATTGGGCAGAACGAGTAACACACATGCAGCAGAGCAAAGAGGGCACGGTTCCCGAGCAAGAAAAAACGACCTCTCTCTCACGAAGACACTTGTTGCAACCACACGCTGCGGGGAATGAAAAAAAAATACCTCACACGACGGTGATACAGTAGCAGCTGCAGATTTTGGCTCGAAGAAAATTACTTGACCTGGAAGACGTTCTGACCCTCGACCGCAGCTTTCAAGACGGCCTCGAACACTCTCAGACTTTCGCTTCTCCACACCGCCTCCGACAGAAGATTATAACGGAACTCGAGGGGCGTGCCTCGCTTCTTCGGTGGTGGCGCCTTGCTATCTGTGAACCCATCCAGCTGGAAGGGTGGGCGTAATGTAAGTATGTGCTTGTATTCACCTCAGTATCATATCGAGACGATCAGAGCACAACGGAGTGGTTCTAAGGCCTGTAAGGTCGGGACGAATCCAACACAGCCATGCACGACCGTGCTTATTCATTCATTGACGACGATCATTTGCACGTTGAAGGCTTCCGTCCCTCACAAAAATCGGTCAGTGCACCATAATGTCTCCCCGGGGCGATGTGGGTTTTGTCTTTGCCCGTCCGCTGGCTGTTGGCATAGCCCTCAATGTGTTTCCTTGACTGTGAGTAACTGGATGTACAGAAAACCAATAGTACTGATTGTTGGTTGAGTAAGCACTCGTTGGTTGTTATCGTCTTCGCGCAAAGAACATTCCCGGCAACCAAAATGCACATGTAGAAACATGATGCGTCGTACCGCTGCAGTGCGCAATCGCGACATACAGTACCGCTGATGATTCGTCAATAACGAAGGGAGGCGCTTTGTTTGCTACTGCTCATGGTCGGGCCTCTGCTTGAAAAATCGAGGGCAGCACGCACAAAGGCAGAATGGTGCTTCGAAAGAAGACATGACGGGGAACGGAGAAACGTCCGCAAGGTCCACCAACTGCCCGTTTTCAGTGACCTGGTAGATGCTATTTAGGCCCGACATCGCCTGTTTGATCGCGAGAAGGGCTGTAGCGGCGAGTTTGTGGTGTCCGTGCGTGGGTCTTCCCGGGGACTGGCAAAGGAAGAATGGCCCCGAGGAAATAACTGGCTACCACGTGGAACATTCCGCCCCTCTCCCTTGGAGGGCGCTCCATGGGTCCTCTCTACAACAATAGAGCGATCACCATTGGGGGCGTCCTCTAGGCTTATATGCTCTACACCGGTTGCAACGCGGATCACGTCTCAGCTTTCTTGAACAGGAACCGAACAACACGGTAGTCTAGTGGTAAGTATCCGAAACATGACTACAGTAGTACTTGCGAAAGATCCCGACTTGACGGAGCCGACCAATTGGTTCCCACTATGCAGCGGTGTCAATCCGGGCCAATGAATCCGGTCACGAGGTCCCTTCGCATTTTTTCCTTTCCGTGTACGAAATCAAGTATTTGCGTACAGCTGGAGACCTATTTGCCACCCAATCAAGCCCCGCACATCGGAGGACTGATTGAATGAAAGCACACCGGACTGCAGAGAAACTCATTTCGGGGTTCCTTGTGATCACCTTCGTGTAGCCGACAGCCCGTCGACACTCGTTCAGCGCAAATTCAAACCGCCCTGCGTCCTTGGTGTTGATCGCCATCGATAGGAGGGTTTGGTTGGAGTTGTCGGTCATCTCGATAAGCTTCCGCACCTGGAACAAAAAAGTCCGACGTCGACAAACCTAAACCAACACATAAGGATATGACCTACATTTTTCAAACCGTTTTGTGTCAGGCGGGTCTAAACTCAGACACCGGACTACCTTCATTTGCGTACATATCAGTCACGGGCTTTACTTTTGCGAATCTCAGTTTCGTCTTTCTGCGAAGGAAAAATATCGAAAATTGATATTTGGGCTTCGTTTAGGCCATTCCAAACGTCCGCACATACTCGTTCTGCTTTATGCCATCAGCCACAATTTTGTTTTGTGATGTCAACAACCAACACCTAACCTCTGCACTAATAGGAAACCCTAGGACGTTATTTGCAAGGTTCTTCCGATGCGGGAAGAGACTGAAATGATGGAGTGTCCCCTTTGTGGAGAACAGGCGGAGCAAGACCAAGACCACATTGCGGTCATTCCTTGTTCGACAGCATGTCGTCTGGGTTGCTCTTTTCGTGTCGGCCTCTTACAAGCAGTGGGGCGTGCCGAGGCTTCTACCTAACAGAACTGCTCCAAGAAGCCCGCCCCGAGAGGTACGTGTGCAGAGAACCTTCGCCGAGGATCTAATCTGTCACGCCTGCACTGCGAGTTGTAGTCGGTTCAAATATGTCGCGAAAGTACCTGCGGGCTGTCGAGCTGCTCCATCGTAAACTCCAGAGCACTTCGAAACGTTTCCATGTTTCGGCTGTTGAAAGCGGCCATGAGGACAGTGCTTCCACTGTTGTCAGTTGACGTGAGCATTTGACGAATCTGGTAGGGAACAAAATACCACGGAATAATGAGAGGAAAGTTCGAAGGGTTTGCGCACGCTTGGAGTGACGCACAATTTGTATTCTCGCTGCAGTTGATTCAAATGCGTATATGCTCTTTGGAGTATCGTGGTTCTTGGGGAATGTATGCACAGGGTCACTGCAAATAGAACCAAGTTTGAAACTGGTTCATACCTTTCCCGCAATATGGGATTTCGAGTAGGAAGTATTGCTGACGAAGTATCAGTTTCCAAATCTCCACCTTCTCTTCGAAATTCATTTCGAACATATTCCCAAATAAAATTCGAAAATAGTTGTTTCCTGGAGCGATCCCTACCATCACAAGCGTTTCACGTTCCATCATTACGCAGCGAAAGATGCAGTAAACTTTCGACACGCTGCCTACCTCGTTCGTGCTGAGACGCTGAACCAATTTTCGCACGTGGTTGAAGGTTGCGTGATTCCCACTGAGGGCCGCGAGCTGCGGCACCGTGCGTCCGTGCTCGTCCCTTTTCATCATTTCGGCGCCCAGAGTCCCGCTCGTCTACAACAGTAAGAAAAGGCGCAGATTTAACGTCGAGGATTGCGGATTCCACCCTACAGCAACTGGCAACTCTTTGCACTGGTATGGTTTGTGAGCTATTAGTACTTGACATCTTCCAACGACCCACACCATTCCGTCGACGCGCCAAGGCGCAGCCGTTTGGCGGTGTTTGCACTCCTAGAATGAGTGAAGTCGGTACTGGAAACCTGAAGAAGACGTGCTGATGGGGAACGCGCCTTCATCTTTGTTCTCCCCGAATGTAATCACCTCCAAAGCACCGGCCAATAGAGAAAATACTTCCTCTCGTCCGCGTATCGCCGCGTGGAGGAGGGGAGAGGTGTTGCGGAACAAACCGTCCTCGTCGGCCTCATTATCGTCGGCAGTACCACCGTACGCCTTCGTCAGCTTCTGCCGCACTTCCGCGTCCACCTGCCGCAAAAATGTAACTAGCCCTTTTCTGTCGCCCTCCTGGATAACAGCTCGTAGACGGTCTTGAAAGACCGAAGTATGTCAAGAGCGCAGCAGTTCATATGCATATCATCAGGAATAACAGCGTCAACTCGGGAAACGCCTCATCATCTATCTAATTCATCGTCCAAGTCGAGCTTTAACTTGCTACCCTCGAACAAAGACAGGCGCAAGCTTGATGAAGTCGCTGAGCGAAACTGAAATGCGCACTCTGCCTAGGTCGTGTGGTCCGTTAAGGATAATTGTTGCAACGTCGTTGCTAATGATTGTCAATGGACTTCACCGAACCAAGCATCCTGCTGAAGCTTCACCTGGCAAATTTCCACGAATAACTTTCGGACAGAAACTACGTAGAACTGTCGAACACGAGTTGACGAGCTACTAAGCGACAATGAACTAAGGCTGGACCAGCCCCTTGTGCGTTGAGGCGAAAATTTGAAGCAACTTGCGATCGTACTGCGTAACATCGGGACAAGAGCATCTAGCGGAGGTCGACATCTCACTTTGGACCAACGTTCTTGTTGATCGCAGGGGAAAAATCCAATGTAACTCTCGACTGATGCGTTCATTCATACACAAGCTTGTGGCAATCTAGCGGGGAGGGCTAATGACATATGTTGAGAGCAATGCCTTTTCCGCGTCTGCGTCGGAGTGGTACATGTACACTCCCCACGAAAAGGTAAGCAACAAATCCTCATTTTCAGGAAGAAACGACACAAAATACTTGTGAACAGGCGCCTGGAGGAATGGCGTCATTTAACTATCGGAATATCCCCCCATGACACTGAGGCAAGGCGTTTTTGAACCATCGGAATAACCCCCGTGATATTGAGAAGAAGACGGGGATCTTGCCTCTGCGCAGGGGGGTGAAGTAGCAATCTCGTTCCAGGTGGATACGATTGTTTCGTTTGAGGATCGAGGCGACGTGGTCGACTATCGTTGCAAGCTCCTGATGTCCACTTATATTATCACACGATTGATCAACTGTTCTCACTGAGCCTTTGTTCCGAAACCAAGTCAAAACTAAAACCGGTCTCCTCAAGCCCTAGAATGTCTAAAGACCAACGGAGGGCGGACATATGCTCAAACGATCGACAACAATTTACCGTCCTCAATGCACGTACCGTTGTCTGGAATTTTCTTTCTGACCCTGACCTTCGAGCTGTCCTCAAGCTTTCCTGAATTCCCCGCCAGCAGATAGCACCGGACGACAACATTTGAGGAAAATGACCACTGTTGCGTTAGGCCGCAAGTCAATAGCGCCCCCGTCGGCAAACGACACGAATACAATCAAATCAATTGCAGCAGTTCCAGATTTTTGAACACTGCAACTCCATTAACCTCGTCTCGAGGACGCGGCAACGCCGTGAAAAGAAGCGTACTCACCGCAAGGTGAGGAGTGAACCTTGTTACAAGCTCACAATGGGTACACGGAGGAAGCTCAAACATTTTGCAAAACCCCGCGAACTCGACAGAGAAGGGGCGGCAGCAAGTTTCTTCGCACCAGGAAATAAGGTCATCCTTTCGACATGCGGTGCTGACAATTTACTTTCCGCGCCAACCTAACGTGCCGGCGCCGAAGAATTGGTCCACTACCATGATCTGATACTGAATGGTAAACACCTGTTTCGAGCGGGATCGAGGTAGGAATCTCGATGTTCTTGTCACTTAGAGTAGCCAGCCACTCCGGGATGTCATCACGGCCTCCTCCGTCTTTGGCAGCTGCCTCCAGGTTTGCTGCTGTCCCTGACGATGCTGAGAATATGCGATCGTCGGACAAGAAAGAGAAAAAACGGCAATACCAGAGTCAGTGACAGCAACTGTTCCGGCTGAATGGCCACAAGAGAACGACCGTCCATGGTAAGTTTTGGGCGAGGAGCATGATCCAGAAAGCTGTCATTTCACGCCCGGTGTTCGAATGCTTATTCACTGCTATGTTACATACAATCTGGGTGTGATGGCACATACTTGCGGCTGATTGATCCAGTAGAGAACCTGTGCAACGTCTGACGCTATGGACGTACGTTGGACTCTTGGTGAAGTCAATCGAACTGATCATTTTTCTCGCACTATCCGCCTTGTGCGATCGATTCCCGTTGAAGAAACAATGTTCTGCACGGTCGACAAGAGAAAAGAACGACGGAATCCTTCTCGTTATAGTAATCCGGGTAACCTACAAACAATAGCTAGCTGCACAATAAGCTCTCTTGTGGCCTTCCTCCTGCGTGGTGACCCGGCATCCATGGACCGTGAAACACAACCGACAGCCGGAAAACATGGGAATATGGGACGGTACAAACACTTGGAAGCCTGGCGTTCGTTGTCTGCCAGTCGGCGCTGCCGATACTAAGCGATAAACACACTTTACCTGCATCGAGCGAGACCTGGGCAGGGATCCCGGCGACCTTGTCGCTGAGGGAAGGCAGCCACTCAGGGGTGTCTCGACGACGCCCTCCGTCTTTCGAAGCTGCCGCCAGATCTTCTGCGGTCGCTGGTGCTGAGAATGCACGGCCGTTGGACGAACGGGAGAATTTGCGATCAGTACCTCACCACTCCGAGCCAACGTCGCCGCGACAGCAATAATGGGACTGAATGGCCACCAGAGAGCGGCCAAACATTGTCATATTTGGAATAGGAGGCGCCAAAATGAAAAAAGATATATCTGTTTACTTACAAATATAGTGTTGAAAACTCGACTCATCGCAATAACCTGGTACTCCTCGGAACATACTTGTGCCGAGCGGAGTCGAGGTAGAAAAGGAAATAATTTCCCCCAAAGAAGCCAGCCACTCAGGGTTGTCTCGATGGCGAATTTTTGGTTTGGATGCTGCCAGATCTTGCGTGTTCACTGGTGGTGCTGAGAGCGAACGGCCGTTAGAAAAAAAGATAGCCACGTGAATGCTGTGAGTGGGTAGAGATGGATTTGTTGCGGGTTTTTTATGCATGTTATGGGGGAAATTATTTCCATGAGGATATAGTTACTCCGCGCTACAGTGTGATGGTAGAGCAACATTTCAAGCTAACGACCGCCAGAGAGCGTTCCGACATACTACGCGGTGGAAGAGGAGTCGTCAGAATTGTGAATGTAAAGTCAAATGGCAACTGCAAACACCAGGCAACAAGCTGCTACCGAGCCGGGAAGAGGACGGACTTCTTGTTGAGAGAGATCCTCTCGATGCCGGCAGCAGCAGCAGTAGCAGCACGTGACTTCGGGCTCATGAGTACTTAAACCATCTTCCATGCTGTATCAATCGTGGTGGTCACAAGGATAGCGATACCCCTGGCAAACCTTCTTTCCATGGGGCAAACAGTTTCGAAACGTACCAGGCACCTCTTCTTTCGAGTCTTGAAGGTTTGCGAATTGTTCCACCGCGTCGGAGGTAGGTTCGTCGTCTCTTGTGCTCCCGCTGCTGCGGACTTCGTCGCTGGCCCTGCCAATGCCGGAGGACTCATCGTCGCTGAACCCCATCGAATCCATTTCCTGTCCTGATCTAAAACCACGGACGAGAAACAATCGAGGTATTCGATGCTTCAGCACAGCCACCTCGGGAGATGGTTTGTAGGCACGAGGGATACGCTTGCAACACATGCTGAACTGATGCATTATTGGGTGAGTTGATGGGAAATCCTTTTTTTCCCAACAATTTTCGCAGTTGAACGTGTTGTGGAATCTGCCTTGCTCCGAGAGCTTGCGCACCTCAAGGCATGCAAAAGCACGAAACCAAAAGTGGGTGAGTTACAGGTAAGAGAGCAGAGGTTCGGGCAACGTACCCGCTAACCTGCGCTTGCGAATCAAACACCCGGTCTGAACGAAACAACTCTTTTTCTATTGGCAGACGCAGTCCCAGATAACACGCAAAAGAATCCGATCCGATGTGAAACATCTTCCGGCGTCAGTGCAATGCGTGACAATATTGGGTAAGCTCGTAGTGTGATCATAATCATGAATTATCCCATCATGACCGGGTCATGACTGGATCATGACCCGGTCATCGGGTGTGAGTCATGACCCGGTCATTATCGGGTCGTGATTTCGGCCGTGGCCCGGTTCCGTGGCCCCAATCATGATGGGATCATGACAGGGTCATAAATTAGGTCATAGTTCTTCGCTTTTGCGGGGATTTCGGCCAGACTGCTGAATCATGACCCGGTCATGATCCGATCATATTTGGGTCATTACGGAGTCGTGACCGTGTCATCACCGGGTCACGATGAGTACACCATGACCGGGAAATGATTATCATCACCCCATCGAGACCCAACCATTGACCCGATGGTCTGCGTACATTAATGCATCAACGCAGACGTAGCATCTATGCTGGCACACGCCCCTGGATGTTGTATCTTCAACACCTACTGTAGCGCCATGCCGGCACACCAACGTAGGATTTATCCGCCGAGCGCCAATCTAGCACCCTTCGTTTGGCTTTGGGGTTAGAGTTAGCGTAAACATTAGGCTTTTAGCTGGATTCATGCCATTGCCAAAGAGCACCAGAATTGTATCATGATCGAGCCATGGCCGAGTCATGACTCGGCCACGACGGGATGATGAACTAATGTATGGCCTGACGGCCATGGCCGAGGCTTGACCAAAGTCATGAACGAAGCATGACCCAGTCATGACCAAAGCATGACCGAGGCATGACTCCGGCCATGATCGAGATCATGATCGAGATCATGACTCCATCTCGATTACAATGTATGTCATGCGTGAGGGTTATGACCGAGTCGTGATCGGGAGTCATGACCGAGCCATGATCGGGTCACGACCGTGGGTCATGATCAAAAATATCATAGCCCACATCTGATAGACTGGGCTAGATCCCGTGGAACGGGCATCTACGTTTCAGTATCCGCCCCTTTTCCTTTGGGATTAGGGTCCCCAATTACTTGGTTGGATCGCGAAGGTGGAGGTAAGTATTGACACTACAGTAGACTAGAGTACCCTTGTGGAAATGAGGCCAACATGGGGACAAAAGATAGACAGGTAGACAGCCTCCGTGAAAGGAGTTGAGGCCGTTCACACTTGAAAGCTTAGATTCAAGCACCTCACTTGAACGCAAGAGGGAGCAATCTCCCACACCACTGATAGTTTGCTTAACCGCTCATGGGACACCTATGGGTGTCCGTGAAAGGAGTTGAGGCCGTTCACACTTGAAAGCATAGATTCAAGCACCTCACTTGAACGCAAGAGGGAGCAATCTCCCACACTACTGATAGTTTGCTAAACCGCTCATGGGACACCTATGGGTCACCCATGGGCAGCCCGTGAAGTGCCCACCGTCGGTACTTCAACCTAGAACTTCGCCACCGGCATATCAACTTAGATCGTGGCAAGTTGCACATCAACCTAGTTCTAGCCACTAGTGCCAACCTTTCACGTATCGTGTGGGTTTAGGGTTAGGATTAGGGTTGTTAGCCCCTATGGTGCCCGTTCCAACGCAGATAGGGCTCATGGGACACCTATGGGTCACCCATGGGCAGCCCATGAAGTGCCCACCGTCGGTACTTCAACCTAGAACTTCGCCACCGGCATATCAACTTAGATCGTGGCAAGTTGCACATCAACCTAGTTCTAGCCACTAGTGCCAACCTTTCACGTATCGTGTGGGTTTAGGGTTAGGATTAGGGTTGTTAGCCCCTATGGTGCCCGTTCCAACGCAGATAGGGCTCATGGGACACCTATGGGTCACCCATGGGCAGCCCATGAAGTGCCCACCGTCGGTACTTCAACCTAGAACTTCGCCACCGGCATATCAACTTAGATCGTGGCAAGTTGCACATCAACCTAGTTCTAGCCACTAGTGCCAACCTTTCACGTATCGTGTGCGTTTAGGGTTAGGGTTAGGGTTAGGGTTGTTAGCCCCTATGGTGCCCGTTCCAACGCAGATAGGGCTCTCGTTGACCGCCCACGGGCCTCCCATGGGTTGCTCATGGGCCGCACATGGGCTGCCCACGGGCTACCCATGAGCAAGCCCATGGGTGACCCATGGGCGGTTTGGTAAAAAGGGCTCTCGTTGACCGCCCATGGGCTACCCATTGGCTACCCATGGGCTGCCCATGGGCCAAACGGGGTGCTCATGGGCGGCCCACGGGCGGCCCACGGGCGGCCCACGGGCGGCCCATGGGTGGTCCATGGGAGTCCCATGGGTCGTTTGGGAAAACTGCAGAAAGTGTGGGAGACCCATGGGTTTCTCCTGGGCAGCCCATATGGTCCGCCCACGGGCCACCCATGAGGTCACCCATGGGCGGCCCATGGGTGACCCATGGGTAAACCATGGGATTCCCATGGGTCGCTTTGGAAACTTTAGAAAGCGTGGGAGACCCAGAGAGAACGACTGATGCGAGTATACTGATATTCACGGTGCCCATTCGAAGACGTCGTGAAAACTTCACTCGTCTTTTGCTTCGGGTGACGATAGCATTCTGTACAAACTTTTTCAATGGAGGTTTGACTTGCTTTGCTTGGTGGCAAGGCAAGGTCTGTGTGAAGTGCTACGGAGGACAAATATACATGATAGGGAGGAGCACGTCGGCTGGATTGAGGCGATCTCAAAGGGGTGTACATACGCGGCGGCGAAGACCAAAAAGTTCCACTGAAACCGCCGAACCGTCAACGTGGTCCGAATTTCAACCGTGAATGCATGTTACAATTGGAGAGGGCTGGGTGGATGTACGCGGCTCAACCCTGATCCAGCTTTTTGTCTTGGGGCGCTCTGTTTCGGGACCCACGACCGAGTTTTGTAGTGACTTGTGTAATTTTAGGGTGTTCTTATGAAGTACCAGGTACGAACCCTAGCCTACAGTATTCACTCGTAGACACCGGCCGCCCCGGTGGTCTAGTGGGTAGCCTCGCAGCCTGCTAAGGGCCAGGTCATGGGTTCGAGTCCCGACAGAGTGAGTTTTTCTCGCTTATGAAATCCTGGTCTCCGTTGGAAGCGACGCGCTGAGAAGCTCGGTGTTATTAGTAAACTTGATCGACTTCTTCACAAGTCGCGAGGGAAGGGATTGCTACACCCTTCTCGCGATAAAAATATCTCAGGCAGGAACCGCAGGAGGGGGTCCGCCCCCCCCCCTCCTATGTGACCCCGGTTGGGTCGTCTGGCTGGTAGAAGTGGAGGATAGGGCCCAGAGGGGCAGACGACTCCAATGATGGGAGAAAAAACAATCACAAAAAAAAAACGTGTGGCATGGCCACCTGCGGTACAACCACGTATTCGAAATTCCGAGCATTATAGACTATACTAAAATGTACACGCACTTCCAACCGCCCGCGCAGTTGAATTGAACACAGCAGACGCACCGAAACAATATATCCTATCGGCGCGGTATCGACACGAAGTGTATGTTGATCTTGGACCTCTGACGTCTACTCCGTCTTCGTAGAACGATTTGGGCCCTCTATGCACCAAGATAATGTGTTGAATGTGACGCGTACCCAACGTGGCGGTACCTTGGATCGCCGAACTGCCGTTGCGTTTCTCTGTTGCTTGCCCTGTCGGATGTGAGAGGCAGAGCTTTGACAGCAAGTAGGTTGGGCAGCTCTGTCAGGCGCGCTGACCGCTGATAACCCAAATGGACCCAACACGTCCGAACGCCAGCCGCATCGAAGTGGGCTCGCCGGTTGGGCATAACACTCGATACATGGGGGCAATTGGGCATACATCGGGGCAATGCGCCATGCAGGCGCGGTGGCATATTCGTCGCGCGAACCGCTCGCGCTCGCATTGGTTATGGTTGAACAGTTATACAGTTATTCACTTTCAGTTGCTGTTGGAGGACGCACCTATGCATAGCAGCCAGCAGCAGCTGCAGCGGTATGCCAACCAGCGCCCGCTGCACTCTTGCCCCCCTCCAACTTTATGTCGATCTTTCTCATCGCGCTCGCATTGGTTATGGTTGAACAGTTATACAGTTATTCAGTTTGAGTTGCTGTTGGAGGACGCACCTATGCATAGCAGCCAGCAGCAGCTGCAGCGGTATGCCAACCAGCGCACGCTGCACTCTTGCCCCCCTCCAACTTTGTGTCGATCTTTCCCACCGGCAGATAGAGGGTTTTGGGGAGAAAACTGGAACTGCAAGGAGGATGGTTGTGTGGCAGTGGAAGCAAACTGGAAGTGGCCAAGAAATGACGATGCATCGCGCGCGGAGCAGAAAAAAATACAACAGATTATCCGCCCTCCGAAGAGGCCAACCTCCAAAGATCCAAGTTTAGTCTAATATGGCAGTTTCCTGTTCTCTCAGCCTTCGGGAGAGAGTTATCTCGGTCGCTGACAGGGCAGCAATTCTCGCGGTGTATTTTGTAGAGCGGTGACAGAGTCGTTTTATGTGCGTTCAAGACTCGAATGCCGCAGGTGCATTGTTTGTGTACCGAGCGGAGCCTCTTCCGTTGTACCGCCGTTTCATCCGACGCACGAGGTTGGGCAATTGCTGACTCACAGATAGATTCCGTCCGGGCAAACCTCTCGAGCGCTGACGGACCACCAGTACCTCGGCTTCATAGATTGCGTGTAACCGCTGTTCTGGACAGCGATTTGTCAGCTGTGACACATTCTAATCCGTATTTGGAACCGCGGGCACCGCAATTTGGCGCACTTCCGCTTGGAAATGACCACCTGCCCTGTGCCATGTTCAAGAGTCAGGCCGAAAGTTCAATAAAAAATACCGAGGGGGAGAGGGTAAACGCCCAGCAAAAACAGCCCCTCTCGAGATTCGCACCGCACTCTGAGAAGATTACCCGAGGCATATAGCACGGAGATCCCGCCGGTGGGTCAAGTGAGAAAATACCCTACCCGTCTACCGGCGACGAAAAAAACTGTGGATCCAGCAGGGGTGCCCTCATCGGCCTCAACACCTCCGCTGAGAATCACTACGAAGCGGGTACTTGCTGATGTTACCCAAATCTCCATGAACGTCATCTCTATCATTAGTCCAGGATACGTCATCTCTGTCGATAACCCAGGATACGATTGGCGATGGATGGATTCACGGTCAGGGTAACGCCGAATTATGAGTCTACACATCATACGAGCCTACTCTGTATTATTTCTGATCATCGAGCATCAGCTAGCAGCATTGATGTCTGCCCGGAAACAGGCGCATGAAGATAGCTTGTTGGCCATCTTTGTTGTGAGACGGGTAAACTATGTGGCAAATCAGGGACGTTTCGGGGAATTTGAGGGCTTTTGACAAAGCCGCGTACGTTTGAATTAAAATCATGCCTTCATATGCACGCGGTGTTGCCTGGGAATGAGGCCGTGTCACGCTACATTTACTCGTTGGACTGGTACAAAAAACCCAAAACACAGGTAAGGCACGTTCTAACAGATCCCCCAGCTGCCGAACACCCCCATCACTTTCAACGCACGTTCTCGGGTACATCGCGCACTATCGAAGACATCCACGCAAGCTCTTTTCTGCCGAACTCTAACTCCTCCTCCTCCTCCTCCTCCTCCTGCTCCTCCTCCTCCTCCTCCTCGGCGTACTCATCATCACCCCCGCCACCCCTTAACGACGCTGCCACTCCCCCGGCATCCCCACTCCCCGCCCCAACAGCATCACTGACAGAAAAACCGGGGCGGCCGGTAGTGGCGGCCGCATCTTCGCTGATTTCGGGCACTAGCGCCACGTCCTTGATGCCGTCGTTGGCGTCCAGTTTTTGCACGATGACGCCCGTTGCCGTTCGAGACTGCCGAGCGATCGCACCCGCACGCTGCCGGACGATGGTGCCCTAAGAGAACGCAGAAAGGCGGCCGCACGCGTGCGCGCAGGAACGAAAAAAGCAAGATCTGTTCAGCAACGAGCGGCAAAACAAACCGATTCATTTCTCGATACCAGAGCAAACACGTTGCCTGTGCGCCAAAAGCAAAAGGGAAAACATTGACAGCGGAGGACGAAAACACAGAACCTCACCGCGATTCAGGCCGGCAAGGCGCCCGATCAAACACGGGACAAGACGAGTCACCAACTGCGCGCATCACAAGTAAGCAAACAACCCAACTGGCTGTATTCTAGAGGTCTGTAACTTAAACGAACACAGTACGGACTGGATTGTTGCCAAAACTCGTGCACCTCGGGAACAGCTCGCAGGAATGCGCCAAGTGGTGAACATGACCAGCAAAGCAGGATGGAAAAACAATGATGTACACATCGAAGAACAGTCTGCTAATGCACCCGGACGTAAAATCATGACTCGCGAACGAAACTCCGGCAAGAAACTCGTCGACATCTTCCCAAATGGTGTGTGCAGTATAGGGGTTACACGAGGCACTTGCCAATAGAACTCAGTTGTACGAACTCCCCGGGACGCCATCACGAGAGGGTTTGGACACTTCCATACCACGTTCACACGCTCGAAACCCGCGCAAAACCGAATCCCCTGGGGCTACAGCCCTTCCATTGGCTCTGCTGATCTAACGTCACCCCGTGTCCGCATCTCATCGCACTCTCAAGCTCCAAAAATCGCGTGAACCAGTTTCTCTCTTTGCCCCCTGCAACCTCGAAAGGGATGTGTGTTCGGTGACAGGGTCAAACGATCAAGGCAAGACTACGGCACCCTCGGCCTGCATTCTCCAGCGCGACCCACAATGCGTCGCGCATGCCCTCAATCAAGCCTTCTTCCATCTCCTCATACGCTACCTTGTTTCGCCCCCTGTAAAAATACCGATTTTCTTCTCCTGTCTCGTACCTGGGCCGTTGATAGCATGATCTCGTCATCTGCCCCCACTATGCGGAAGCAGGCAAGGGTGTCCTCGAGCTTCTGCCTCAGCTTGAGCGCGATCACGCCCTTGCCGCCCCTGTCGTCATCCCGTTCGCGTTCGTGTTGTGCCGGCAGCGCAACAAGGGAGGTGTTGTTGAGGTGTTGTTATTGTTGTCGTTGTCTTTACATCAAAATCGTTCCGGCGTCTCCTCAGCACCTTCGTACTGGTCCACGTGACTCGGGCGCTATCCGTGGTAGAAGGCGTAGGTATGACAAAACAATATTTCGTGGTTTCCCTTAGGGCGTTTTATCATATTGGAAAGGCTTAGGTGAGGAAAGGGCTTCCCCATCGTCATGTGTGCTTCTGGCATTGCCGTACTACGACTTTTTCTATTTGACTTTTTTTCGTTGTCGGACGAACAGAAACAAAAACTGACCTAGCTCAGGACAAAGGATATCCGAACCCACATATCTCCGCAACGAACGGAAGCAACAACCGAACAGCACGCTTCGCAGCACTGAGCAAGCGGAAGCGCCAAACTGTTTTTCCCGCCCACGTCCTTCCCCTCTTCCTGCCCCCCGAGCCCTCCTTGTCAACTTGTCCGTGTGGACCAGCTTCCTGCAGCCTCCGACCTCATCATACTCCAACCCAACATTAGCTATCCCCACATCTCGCGACCATTGGGTAGGGTATGGCTGGCACGACACGTGATGGTCGAACGACGACCATGACGACAACGACAAAACAACCAACAACAACAGTGGCTGCAGCAGCAGCTCCCTGTCCAAAGCGAAGACACCGTAACCGCCGCACTGAAACAGCACGCCCCGCCTGGCCCACTCTCCTCCACCCCCTCCCCGTCGCTGCCGTCCCTCTCACCTTCGAGTGGTCTTAAACTCGTTCAAGGCGACGCGCTTGCCGTAGCCTCTCGTGGTCAGCACCAAGAGGGAGTGCCCCTCTTCCTTGACACCAGCGTCGTCCCCTGCTGTTGCTGCTGCTGCTTCTCGTGGGACAACGCCGATGTCGACCGGAACATCCTCGTCGCGGAAGTTCATCGCCTACAAAGTGCGTGGCAATAGTAGCAAGACGTGAGACCCGGAAGCACGCATAGAAACAACGCCCGAGAGCTGTTTTGGGAGGAATGCGGTTGCGCTGTTTGAGTTTTTGGAAAACGAATATCAGCCGTTCTATTGCATGTCTCTCCATCTCCTTGTTGTTCGACGTCCGTCTTGCTATCACGCTCTCCTTGTAAGTAGTTCTTCTCTTATCCGTCCAGTGTTTTCTGTTGTTCGGGTTCATTTTCTTCTCGTCGTCGTCGTCGTCGCTGTAGTCTTCCTTTTGATTTACGGTGCTTCTCGCGCGAGCTCTTCGACAAACACCAGCCCGTCGACAATGTGCACAAGCTGAGCGAAAATCGCCCGTAGTCTTGAGGAACATGGCAAGAAAGCCGGAAGCTGCACGCTGGCTGCCGGTGCGGCGGATAGCACCAAAAGCTAGGTCGCCGTGAATTGTGCAGCGAGCTGCAAGCAGAGCGAGCAAGTCCCTTCCCATGTACCACCAGTGGCACCGTGCAATCGAGTTCACCCGGTGACATGGCTTCCAACGGGATCCTTAACACGTGCTCAATGACGCACATATCGGAGTCCACGAAAAGATGACACCCAACACAAGCATACAAGATATCAGGATAACCCCCCCAAAAAACTCGCCACTCACCTTGACGCCCCTGGACGTTCTCCCTGATGGCCGGAGGTCCTTCTTGTTGGCCAAAAATCGGGTGGCATAGCCCTGCTTGGAACCGATGACAATGCCGTCGTCGTCACAGCACCTGAAACACAGTGGGGGGGGTGGTGGTGTACTCATAGTCGTGCATGCCGTAGTCGTTAGACCATTGACC